CAACAGTTCGAACCCACTAGCTGCTCCATGGGAGAAAGATGTGACAGTCTGCTTCCATAAAGATAACAGCCTTGGAAACCCTGTGGGGCAGTTCTACTCTGTCCTATAGGGTTGCTATGAGTTGGAATCAGCTCGATGGCAACAGATTTATATAAAGTTATCATGGTGTACCTCATGTGTTACACAGTAGGACTGCTCCATAGGATTTTATTGACTGTAATGTTTACAGAAGCAGACCTCTAGATCTTTTTTTAGTGGCCCCACTGGGTGGGTTTGAACCACCAACCTTTAGGTTAGTAGCTGAGGGCAAGCGGTTTGTGCCATCCATGAGTCAGAACCAACTCCATAGCAATGGGCTTGGTTTTTTGTTATATACATATACATATATATGTGTGTGTGTATATATAGCTGTATACACACACACGTATATATACAAGGTTAACACACTTGGTTGCTAACCAGAAGGCTGGAGGTTCAAGCATACCCTAGGTACCCTGGAAGAAAGGCCTGGCAATCTATTTCTGAAAATCAACCTTTGAAAACCCGATGGAGCAGTTCTACTCTGATACACACAGAGTCACCATAGGTTGGAACCCACAGCAACTGGATATATACATATGGGACTTGGGGAAAGTGGAGGTTTCTAGTCTAGAAGAAAATGTCTTTCATCAATCCCAAGAGGCCATTCACAGAGCATATGGGGCTCCCAGGAAACCTGGCCCGTTGGGGCTTGAGTAGAAGTGAGAGGTCTAAGAGCAGAAAGAACAGGGAGGAAGTTTGGAAAAAAGGTCAGAGACCAGGTAAGAACGAAAACGTACTTCTGAGAGTCCAGAAGATACCAAACTGCTCTAGGAGCTAGAAGAGGGATAGATATTCAGGAAACCTACCTCAGAGAATTAGAGAAAGCCCATGAAGGCAATATGGCATAATGATCTTGAAATTAGAAGACTTGCGTTTCTACCCTATGCTGCCATTTACCAGCTGTCGGAGTTTCTGTAAAAGTCACCCACCTCATCTGCCCTAGTTAGCTAAGGAGTGGGGAGGATCAATAAAGAACGTGTAAAAACATCACAAACTGTAAAGCACTATAAAAATATATGCTATCGTGAGAAAAATATTAAAAACTTTAAAGTAGCACACACCTAGTGTTAGGTATTTGTGATGTCTAAATAGTCTGCACTCATGTAATTCTTAGCAATTACAGTAGGCCTAACCCAGAGGCACCTCGGAAGAAAGGTCTGGCAATCTACTTCCAAAAAACGGGCCATTGAAAACTGTGGCGTACAGTTCTACTCTGACACACATGTGGTCACAAGATGGAATCAACTCAATGGCAACTGATTTGGTTTTGGTTTTAACTGTCAATACAATACTTGAAAAGCTTGGCTGCTTTGTGGGAAACGGACTACAAAGAACACACAGAGCAGGAAATGGGGGACGCTCCATTCCTTTGACACCAAATTCCTCTGCCCGGCTGCAAAGGGAGGACAGGGAAGATGGCAGCAACTAGCAAGCAGGCAGCAGCACGCCTCCAGTCACCGTCAAAACTTGCCCGTGGTGCATGAAGGTCTTATAAAATTACCTGCCACCTCAAGAAGTTTCCTAATGAGTTATTTAAACAACTTGTTTATTATCTTGGTTGATTAGTCGAAGAAAAGTAATAGTCATAGTTCAGTGGTTCCTAACATTTGAAAAATTGCAGACGCCTTGTTAATAGCCAAAAACACAGGAAGCTTCCGCATGGCAGTAGCTGCATTTTGTTTCCATTGATAAGAAATCGATTTGTCAAATATGGATCCTCAAATTCCTTGTACCCACCATCTCCTTCCTCTGCCCTCCCTTACCATAATCAGTGACACACTATCTCCAAATTGGGAACCCCGTGACATAGGCTTGGAGTCCCTGGTGGCACAAATAGTTAAGCACTCGGTTACTAAACAAAAACTTGGCGGTTCAAGTCCACCCAGAGGCAGCTCAGAAGAAAAGCATGACAATTTACTCCCCCAAATCAGCCACTGAAAATCCTACAAACGCAATTCTGCTCTGACACACGTGGGGTCACCACGAGTCGGAGTCGACACGATGGCAACTGGTTACAGATCTGGCATATGCTATTAAGAAAACTGGAACAGGACGCCAGAGAGGTTCTTCAAAAATGAGCCGAAATATAAAATCTAAAACAATAAAGACCATGGAAAAAAACATAGGGACAATGCTAGGAGCCCTAATACACGGCATAAACACAATACGAACCATAAATGCACAAGCACCAGAAGAGAGACTAGATAAATGGGAGCTCCTAAAAATCAAATACTTATGCTCATCAAAAGACTTCACCAAAAGAGTAAAAAGACAACCTACAGACCGGGAAAAAATTTTTTGGCTACAACAAATTCCGATCAGCATCTAATCTCTAAAATCTACAAGATACTGCAAAACCTCAACAACAAAAAGACAAATAACCCAATAAAAAAAATGGGCAAAGGGTATGAACAGGCACTTCGCCAAAGAAGACATTCAGGCGGCTAACAGACATGAAGAAATGCTCACGACCTTTGGCCATTAGAGAAATGCAAATCAAAACTACAATGAGATACTATCTCACCCCAACAAGGCTAGCATTAATCAAAAAAACACTAAATAATAAATTTTGGAGAGGTTGTGGAGAGACTGGAACACTTATACACTGTTGGTGGGAATGTAAAATGGTACAACCACTTTGGAAATCGATTTGGTGCTTGCTTAAAAAGGTAGAAACAGAAGTACCATACGATCCAGCAAGAGCTGTCACACAAATAGACATATGCACGCTCATGTTCACTGCAGTACTGTTCACATTAGCAAAAAGATGGAAAAAACCCAGGTGCCCATCAACGAACGAATGGATAAACCAATTATGGTATATTCACACAATGGAATACTATGCAATGATAAAGAACAACGATGAATCCGTGAAACATAACATGGATGAATCTGGAAGGCATTATGCTGAGTGTATTTAGTCAGTCACAAAAGGACAAATATTGTATAAGACCACTATTGTTAAGAACTCATGAAAAGGTTTAAACACAGAAGAAAACATTCTTTGATGGTTATGAGGGTGGTGAGGGAGGGAGAGGGTGATTCACTAACAGTAGACAAGAATTATCTTAGGTGAAGGGAAGGACAACACACAATACAGGGGAAATCAGTACAACTGGACTAAACCAAAAGCTAAGAAGTTTCCTGAATACAACCAAACACTTTGAGGGACAGAGTAGCAAGGGCAGAGGTCTGAGGACCATGCTTTCAAGGGACATCTAGGTCAAATGGCATAACAAAGTTTATTAAGAAAATGTTCTGCATCCTACTTTGGTGAGTGGCATCTGGGGTCTTAAAAGCTAGTGAGCAGCTGTCTAAGATGCATCAATTGGTCCCAACCAACCTGGAGTAAAGGAGAATGAAGAACACCAAAGTCACAAGGAAAGCATTAGCCCAAGAGACAGAAAGGGCCACATAAACCGGAGACTGCATCAGTCTGAGACCAGAAGAACTAGATGGTGCCCAGCTACCACCAATGACCGCCCTGACAGGGAACACAACAGAGTCCCTGTTGGAGCAGGAGAAAAGTGGGGTGCAGAACTCAAATTCTAGTAAAAAGACCAGACTTAATGGTCTGAGACTGGAGGAACCCCAGAAAGCATGGCCTCCGGCCTCTCTAACAACCCAACATTAAAACCATTCCTGAGGCCAACTCTTCAGTCAAAGATTAGGCTGGACTATAGGACATAAAATGATACTCGTGAAGAGTGTGCTTCTTAGCTCAAGTAGATACATGAGACTAAATGGGCAGCTCCTGTCTGGACGTGAGATGAGAAGGCAGAGAGGGTCAGGAGCTGGTTGAATGGACACAAGAAATCAAGGGTGGAAAGGAGGAATGTGCTGTTATAGTATAGGGAGAGCAATTAGGGTCACATAACAATGTACGCATAAATTTTTGTATGAGAGACTAACTTGAACTGCTTAAAAAATACAATTAAAAAAAATCTTTTTTGCCCAAAAATGAGCCGAGAAAGGAAGAAGTCTTACTCAATATATTACAGCCCCATTAGCAAATTTCCCAAGAATGAAATTCCTTTATAACGGTTGGTGGAAAGATATGAGAACCATGATTACTTCTTTGCTATATAAAGAAAAAGCACAGGTTTTACTTTCCCTGCTGAGTTAAAGGTCAACCTGTCTATGCCTATAAAATGTATTGCCTATAAAATAGACTGTTAGTATTTACCTACCGGCTGGCCCTCATTTATGTTAAAGTTTAACAGTCAAAATGTCATATAATAATGATGGACTGAGATGCCCTTGGGTACAGTTGGATAATAATACTTGCTTAAGAAAATCCGTATCTGTTATATTGTATCCATCTTCCTATATAAACAAAATGTTCTTACCTCTGTTCTGACCCAGTATCTATCTCCTACTACCTTCTTTTGATTATTCTCACCTACACCCCTATCCCTCCTCAGGAAGCTAAGCAGTACTAGTGGCTTCTCTGCCAAATCATGCCCAAGTCAGTGTCATGGTTCCACCTTCCTTCCAAATCAAAGGTTTCCCAGCCCTGGCAACTGGATTCTCTGCCCTAGGCCTCTGAAAGGGCCAGTACCAGTCCTTTCTGTCCCATAACCAACCAGGTCTGCCCAAGAAGCCAGACCTACCTCACCCATTCATTATCAATTCTGGGAGAGGAGAAGGTACAAAAGGAGGAACAACAAAAACATGGTGAGGCCCAGGGTCCAAGACAGAGAGGCACCTGCCACAGGCTTGTACATGGAGGGTGTACACAGGACAGGGGAGAGGAACAGCATGAAAAAGAAAGGGAGTGGAAGCGGGACTTTTTTTAAAGCTGTTTAGATTTATGGATATTGAAATGAATACATCTGCAGGCCCTGAACAACAGTAAAAAACAAGATGGCGCACCCAAAACGTTTTCATATTTTATTACAGAGGTATTTGAGGTGTATTATTAGTTAACATGTAATTTTTAAAGTGCTAATTCATATCCTACATGTACAAAATCATTTTACAAAAACGCTTAAAAAACTAGCAGATAATGTGCTCTCTGCTGGGCTCTTACTAGAAGGCATATCTGGGAGGGTGGCACCCACTGCAGAGTTACAGCAGCAGCAACCAGCACAACCGCTGCCACCTCTTCATCTGACACTCTGTCCTCCTGCCACCTCTTCATTACCAAGCTCATTGCATCTTGATTCTTCACCTTTCCTCTCTTCTTCCCACCCAGGATCCACCAGATGACCATGCCGGATAAACAAGAAACAAAAATACATCTCCGTACCTTTCTATCTCGGACAAGAACGATTCCAGTTCTCTGGGACAGTCAGCCATGTTATTTCCTAAGGCCTTTTACCCCAGAAAGTGTCACTTAAAATGTAAACAAATCGCCTTCAACCAGAGTTCTCAGGTCACCTTCATTATTTCCTTTGAGTAGTCCTTTTATATTTAGTTCTTCAAGTATCTATATTACAATATATAACCCTTGCGATCAAAACAACTAAGAAAGCAGTCTTGTTACAACTATTTCACATTCTCTATCACCAAGAGCTTTCCTAAGAAAATATCAAAAAGGGAAATTCAGCCCAACAATTAGCTGCAACAAGTTCTTAATGGGTGCTACTTGGGGAAGTCCCTACGTCAAAATTATTGCAATCAAATATTCAGTTCTTCTAAAGATCATCAAAAGATCCTAGGTCATGGACTAGACCAGAAATCCACTGTGATGTTGATATATAAAGGATTGTGTTCCACAGACAGTAATTTATAAGAACAACTAGTCAGCCCATCTGTTTTCCAAACTCGTGACACTTGATGTAAGAGCTTCATCCTAAAGATAAAAAAGAACAAATATGAGTGATAAAAACAAGGATTTGGCACATATTTGCATTGCTTCTTGACTTGCCCCAACATTTGGCAAATGCATTCTTATAAATTATTGTACCTGTTGGGTTTTCTACCACGAACAAAATTGGTTTTGTCCATCTAAGATAACAGAGTCCAATGATAGTCATGTTCATTCCAAGATTTATTGTGTCAGATCTAAAGTTAGACCCTGAGGACCAATGATGAAGAGTCACTGGACTCTGTGAGTTCCCAGATGGACACTGATAACAATGTGATGTGTGCCATCCACTGCTAACAGGCCCTTACATAATATTCAGGGGATCTCTAACTCACCCAATGTCGTTGGGAAAACTTTGTGTCGTAGGTGGAGAGGGTATATACTTTTCATAAGAACCTCAAAAAAAGTTAAGAATATGTGAGGATGAGGGTGGACAAAGTGACCTAACTGCATGAGTAGGTCTGGGGAGAGGTCACAGAGAAAGCAAATACGGCTGAGGCTTAACAGAAGTTCACTAAATGAAGAAGATGAGAAAAAGGACACTCCAGGCAGAGCGAATACCCTGTGCAAGATGCACAGACAGCAAAACCTGGTACATCTGAGGAAGAATGAATCATTCAGTGTGGCTGGGGCCCTGCAATCTGGGGAGAGTAGCTGGCAGAGAACTGAATAGGTCTCTAGGAGCTTAGCAGTGGAAAACAATGAATCCCAGTTACACATTATATGTTAACAGAGGTGGAGATCAGAAGCATAATGTTGAGCTAAATAAAATCAGAGAAGAATAAATACAGTATGATCTTATTTACATTCAATTGGAAAACATGCAAAACTAAACAATCTTTTGTTTAGGGTTACAAACATATGGGAAAACAAGAAAAGCAGGGAAATAATTATTACAAAAATTTAAGAAAGTATTACCTCTGGGGGAAGGGAGGGAAAAATATGGGATTAGAGAGGGCCACACAGGTAATGGATATAAATCGGGTGGGAGACCAACAGTATTCATGGTATCAATCTTGTCATAGAATTTATAAATATTCTTTTGTATCTATTCAATAATTAATTTCTTAGGAAAAATGTATACCAATGAACAAAGACTAGAAAAACACACAAAATATTTAAAAAGCTGCTTTGTTAGAGTGGTAAGACGTATGGCTAAATTTTGTGTTGCTGGAAGTCCTTTAATATTGTTTTAAAATTTAGAAGAAAAAAAAATCAGATCCAAGAAATGTAGATGCTTCAATCATAGCCCCATGAAGAATCAGCTTATCTGACAGGAGTCCTTGGTAAAAGGCTAATTCCTAGGGCAGAAAAAGTACAAGATGAGCCTCGAACGTTCTGTCGCACCAGAGCACAGGGAAGGAAGCTCTCAGACTACTGTGGGTACGTCAAAGGGACTCGGGAGCCACCCTGAAGGAGATCCAATAGCCAAAGATGGACAATATCAGCACCAAAAAGAAGACCCACTGGCCAAAGATGGACAATATCAGCACCAAAAAGAAGACCCACTGGCCAAAGATGAGACAATATCAGCACCAAAAAGAAGACCCACTGGCCAAAGATGAGACAATATC